TGTTGCTGTCAACGTCATATAATAAACTACGAGCATGTCCAGCAACATTTTGAATTACAAAACATATTTTTTGCCACAAAGGGCTTAAAATGAAATCATTTGGTAGGTCCGTTTTGCCGATATTTTCACAAAAATATGATCGGCACTTAGTGTGGTCCCCGAAGCCATGGAGGTGGCTAATTAATAAGTCGTCAAACAGAAGTTGAATGTCTGAGTTGGATTTATGGTTTTTAATTGATTTGCAAATGGCAGATCTTGTTCGTAATATGGCTTTTTTTGTTATTAATTTTCGGTATTTTATGTTATATTTAGTGTCTGTGGCGAGTGCTTGTAATTTATTTCAGAGATTCCTTAGTATGTGGTTCCGGCACTCTATTTTTTCAACAGTAATGTCAGAATACGGGCGTGCATGTAATATTTTGGAGTAGGTACTAGCATCGCCATCGGATATGAGTTTTCCGTAAATTAAATTATGCATTCTTATGGATTCTTTGTATCATTTTAGAATTATTTCACTCTCCATGTTTGTGAAAGGACCATTTTAATTTTTAAAACACTTGTGTTCTAGCGGATCAACACTTTTGTTTTCTGCACGGGCACAGATAACGCAGTATTTATTTTTAATGCCTAAAAATAAAATTTCTCCAGTATATTTGCCTATTATGGCCGCTGCGCCCGAAAGAGCATTATAATTCTTTTTATAACTACGCTTGGACCAGCAACCATCAGCAATGACGTCTATTATGGGGATACTGATAATTTCATGGTTCTCTAAATACGTTTTTTTAGATAGCAACGGGAGGTTGATTGCTGCCATAAGTGCATCCAGCTGTGAATGCCCTCCACCTATTGCAGTAGGACCTGCGACAGCTAACATCCATTTATGACAATCTTTTGATTACAAAGCCGACGTTTAAATGTAAAATTTTTACTATAGGACTCTGTACTGTGAATAACTGAACACAATGTTGGAGAAGCTTGCACGTTTCCAACCAGCTCTGGTCAATCGCTCGTCCCCTGCGACAACGCGTGACCTCGTACTGTATAACAGACGGTCTCCAAGTTACAAGAGCTGGGGTAGGAAGCTCTCAGTCATTGGCCGTACTCACCAGACCTTGCGCCTATTGACTTCTTCTTTTCCCAGATTTTGGATAACTTTATGGCGAGTACAAAGAGCTTTTTAAGCCTTAGAGGCAGTACAAAATGCCTTTGAAGATTTCCAGCTGATTTCTTCAAGAACGGTATCAATAAACTGCACTGCGCTGGCAAAGATGCATGGCATGAGTGTTTAGTTTGATTGATAAAAATAAAACATATAGAAAAAAAAAGCTAAATTATTACATAAGTAATTTAAAATTAAAAATTTTGTACAGCCAACTTCAATATAAGTTATTAAGTCTGACATTGATCAAATTCATATGGGACCACACGAGAAGTATCAGCTTTCATATAAAAAAAAGAATCATCGAAATTGGTTCACCCAGTAAAAAGTTATGAGGTAACACACATAAAAAAAAGAACATACGCGTCGAATTGAGTACCGTCTCCTTTTTGGAAGTCGGCAGTAAACGAAAATTGCATAGGTAAAGACCTAAAGTTAAAATTACATTTTATGATCAGTGATTGAAGTGAACTAGTAAGCAGTAGTATACTTATAAAGAAAACAATAAATGTAATAAAACATGACTAGTATCTTACCATCAGTCTCATGTGCATGTTGTATATGTGTAGTGTGTGAGTTTATATTGAGTGTGGATGTATGTATGTGTATATATTCATTTGATAGCTGTATTGTAATAATGTCTCTATTTGTTCATAATTTAAGGAAGATAAAAAATTTGTAATCGTATTCTTACATTCAAGATAATAAAATTGACTTTATATTTTATTTTGTTCTATTTATTAATACCAACCCAGTATTCCTAATCACAAATAATCACAATATCTCATAAGGTATTGTAAGTGGATAAAAAACATCTAATTAGTTACTAATACCTACCCAGTAAATATTAAAATAATAAATGGGAGTAAAAAGTGAAATGAATAAAACGAGTAGTAGCATTGTAAACAGCAAAACCCTCTCAAATTCAATTCACTAATATTGTTACTAAATAAGGAATAGCAGATAAAAGATTTGTAATAACTTGCTCCTCAAAATGATATTTGACCTCAAAGTAAAACATATCCTATAAATTCTGTTAGCATGTAAGGTTCGAATCCATAATAAACGTTTTGACAAACATTATAATTTACACTATAAAAAACTAATTCAATATTAGCAATATAGTATATAGTTAAAAATAATCCTATTACCTAACCACAATATTTTTATTTATAGGATAGGGATAGGGTGACAAACGAGCACACAGTCCACCTGATGGTAAGTAGTAGCTGTGGCCCATAGACATCTACATTTATCCTCAATAAAGCATCAAAATACAGATGCGTCGTCACCCGTGAGGTCTAAGATGGAATGCCTCTTTTCCAGTAAAATGGGTCTCCGGTTTTACACTCACCATACGAAACACATCAATGTAAAGCTGCCATTTTACGCTGGTATTCTATGAGAACGTGGTCCTTCCCCGGTCGAGCCGACCCATTACTACAACTATACTACTAATATAGCTGCAGCATGGCTCTACCACGTATATCTTAGTGGGTATAGTAATTAGGTAAAAAGTATCTAAGTAGGTATTAATATAGGTACCTACGCAGTATAACTAATAACAAAAGGTACCTATGTATTACGATTAGATAAAAGGTACTTATCTAAATAGTTATCTACTTTTACTAAGTAGGTACTAATACCTACCCAGGCATCATGTAATTATAAGTTATAATTTATAACTGAAAAACCCCTACAACCCTTATACTTCTTGTAGATTTTTTTATATTACTTTTATTATAACCCTTATGTATAAATAAATATAGTTACGTAAGTAGAAATAAAATTGAATAAAAATAAAAACAAACATGTTTTTTTCATTTTCATCAATCATTGGGGTGAGGTTATTATCAGCCAGCATAAGTAATAAGTAGACTTTGTTAATTTTCTATTTTTTATTTTTCTTCTTCTAAAAAACGTTAACACACTAGGATTTTCTCCTGTATCGTGGAGGCAGTTTACAAACACAAATTTCACAAGGACAAACATCTAGACCCGGAACAATCATTTATAGGCCATACAAATACTTGTTCCGTGCGGGATTCGAACCCGGGCCTCCCAGCGCAGCAACTCATTGCTAAGGCACTGCGCCACGGAGCCGTCACAAGATGTTATTGTTACAAGGTGCTCAGTTCAAAAATTAGGTAGGTATGCTACTTTTCAATACGTGACACGTAAAAATTAACAATAATCAAAAAACACATCTGCGAGACATCTAAATATAATATATCTACCTACCTACCTATTCACCTATAGTGCGTAGGTATATTTACTCACTATTTTCAATGCTTCATTTTCTCATATTAGATAGGTACCTTCCCGGGCGTTCGAAATGAATGGTTTCATTTTTATTAATTAGATAAAATATGAAAATACATAATTCTAATATAATGCAACTAATATACCGAATAAAAAATTACAATACATTTATCGTTGTACGCCGTGTGTATTTCCATAAAATAGTTTATTGATGTTGAAAAAATAATACTTCGTTCGTAAAATAGATCGCGTCTACAAATTTATTACGCAATAATATATTGTAGCGAGCGGCGCGCTAGTCAAATGCTCAAGGTCGTTCGCATGGAGTAGCCCCTTAATATAACAGTAATTCGATTTTCTCGAAACTGATTGAAGCAACAAAATCGCGATTTTGGCAACTAATTAGCAACAAATTAGCTACAAATTCGAGTGTACAATTTTAAGGTTTCTGCTGTCTTTCCAGTGCTAGCTTTATATGGCTATATAAACTAGCAATTTTATAGATGATTTGACGTTTTCTTATTTTGCCAATATTCTTCCATTATATTAAGATAAAGGCTAATATAGGCGATTGTTTGGTTAACGAAATTCCGGCAGTTGACAACCAACCCCTGACATCTTTTAAGTTCGGGATTTCTTTTTTCTATGAAATACTTAAATATTGAATTTCACACATGGCACCAAGTCGTACCCTGAGGATGCCGCATTTTGACTATGATATTACACTATATTGTAAGTGTCTGAAGCGATATGATTTTTATAAAAAAACATGGATTTGTAAGAACTATTAGATTAGAAAGTTTAAGAAAATTTTAGCCCAAAACTTTGCCTAACTTACAACCGCAAGTGCCTATGTGTGACATGTATCTTTTCCGGTCTAAGAGTTCACATGGATAGGCACTAACTCTTTTACCGATTTGTAGCAGAAAGATACAGAGTGTCCATCCAACTATTTTGTATCGATTTGGAAGGTGTAAGAAATAAAAGCGTTATGGACTTGCAGGCTGCGAGATATTCAGTCTAAGTCCTGAGGTCTTCTCTGCTTGAAGTTAGTTGCAGATGTTCATGGGCTAAATGTAGCCACTTATCATCAAGTGTACTGTAAGCTCGTTCTTCACTTTAATAGGTATTATAAAATAAAATTTGTACAATTTTTTTTTCAAACGATTACTTAATATAGTTAGAATTCGAACCCAGTTGTTAAGTACGCTACTTAACAACTTTACTGGAAACGAGGTGGAAATATGAAATACATTATTACAAAATAATTTAAATATTAAATCTTAAAAGAAATTTCCCCTATTTAATAACATAACAATAATATAGTATTAATTCAAAGTTCAGTTGATATAAGATTTTCTTTTTATTAGATAATAGATGCCGTTACGTATTGTTCAAACGATATCAAATTCTATTGTAATTTTTTTTTCACGGTTTGGGGTCGATGAAAGCCGGGACTAGGGACTTTACTCAATTGCAACCATCACATTTTTACCTGCGGTAGACTTAGCTATGGGCCTTTTCGTTCAGTTGTTGTTCAAATTCTGTTAGAGAAAGTTAGTTATATTAGTTCGTTATGTCCCAACCGCTTTGGCTGCTTGTTGAGTGGGTGGATGAAAGAAATGTTTTTTCGCACTATGGTGTGGTGAACTCTGATTCTCTAGTTACCAACGAAAGTGACTTTCATACCGGGAAGCTGGTATTCATCAAGAACAAACAGGGTAATGGCGCTCGGCGAGCGCAGATCTTGCGGTTATCCGGTGAGTGTTTTGAGATTATACTATGTACTGCCATCTGCCATACCTTTAACTTTAAATTATAATTTTGCGTATATAGGTACTTAGCACATTTTAATTTAGAGCTGCAAAATAATTGACACTTATTATACCAAGTGCTTTTTAATGTTATACGAGTATACTCGTAATTTGTTAAAATCTATCTAATCTAAATCTATGTGTTAACTTTACTTTAAAATTTTGATTTTTTGTATTAAGTAGGTAAGTACTTTATTGTATAGAATTAAAATATCCCTTGAAAGTATATACCTAATATATATAGGTAGTATGGAGAAAACAATAAATTTTTATCGGGATTAAAGTAAACCCAAACATACGTAATTGCTAAAGAAAAAGAAACGTACGCTCGTGTACGCATCTCTCATATTCCAAGTAATTTTCCTAATACTCTTCAAAGTTGTAAGCTTGTAAGAGGTATTCACGATAAATCACTGATTTAATCACGTTACTCAATCAACTAAACAAGCGTTTGTGTATATGTTACATAAATGTTATGTTATATGTTATGTAATTATATTGTAAGTACTCGTATAAGTTTATTAAAATAAAATTACAGTCTTTATCAAGAGTTAGTCGCTAATATATTTGTCAACTTCATCGTTACACTTAGAAAGTTTAAATGCTTGTTTTTGTCTTTACGAGAAGGCGGATGCATTTGGATGAGTTGCGAATAACCACGTCGAGGTGGCGGGTAGGTAGTCGAGGGCAAACGCAAAGCCTAGATCTCGCACTAATCAGCCGATTGTCGGAGCCAGATTAAACAAAATCATTTTGTTTTAAGTCACAAATGTTTATTGAAAGAAGGACATTCATAACCTATTCCCACTAGGGTAACCCTGCCATGCGTTCTGGTGTACCGGGACACATCTCAATTTGAAGTGGTGTCCCCCCCGTTCCGATCTATACATCAGCTGTCCCTGCAAAATTAGGATGATGATTTTATTTTAATACAGACATTGTATTTGATTTTATTTTTAACAAATATCTATCAAAAATTAAAAGAGAATGTTCATAAGTCGAAAACTATCATTTAACTATTTATTGATTAAAGTTCCTATAACATTTTACGAGTTTTTGGATTATTTATGTAATATGTACATATTTATTTAATTATTTAATCCCTATTTCTAAACAAACGTCCCGGTTGGCGTTCCAACATTTTTTGCCAGCCTTACGTTAGGAGCGATTTATAATATGATATGTCTTAACTTTGCAGACAACAAGAACTATGTAAAAGAGCTAAAGATATTACTTCAGCGACAAGATCAGCAGGTGAAAAACATGGTTTCATTATGTATGAACACTATCAAGGAAATGAAGTCAGGATCCTTGGTGAGTATCTTTTAACTGACTACCAGCCAGAGAATTATTAATGTTCTTTATCATAAACGTATATTACTTAATATGAAGGGCACAGGGAAAGAAGGAGCTCATTGACAATTTTACGTTTTTGTGTAAAGTGAATTGAAAAATTTGTACTTTAGGATATAACGCGCTCATTGCATTCTATACCGCGTAAAAAGGTGCCCATTGTCTATGAAACCACGCTAGAACGGGCTGATCGCAGCGATTGTAACAGAAAACGCGCTCATAGTCAGCCATCTGTATTATTTTGTCATACAAATGACAGCTGCCAGATAAGCTTCCTTGCATAAAATAAATTTTACGACTCCTATAGTGTACGTTAGGTTTTTAAAAGTTTTTGCTTATTTATCTCAAAATGGAGAATAATACGTAGGACACTCAATAAGTTTTAAGATATACGAAAAGTATTCTAGATATTATTAATATTTATTTTACATCTTTTCAAAATATTCTCCATCATGCTCTAGTTCAATTATTAAGTCCCATTCGCCTAAGTCAACTCTGAAAATACTTTTGTCAGTCTTGATCTGACAGGTCAGAAATCGCTTCTTCGTAGGCAGCCACGGCTTCAACACCAGATTCCTCAATAAATGCTTTTGTTCTATGGGAGGTATGTGAAGAGGCGTTATCGTGATGCAGCATGATTCCCCGAAGCCCGGTCTTTGGTCTTCTCTCCCGCACAGCTTGAAAAGCTTTGGGTAATGCAACTGTAGTATACCATTCAGAGTTGACTGACCTACAATTTTCCAGCATTGACGTCGACAAATGTCCGCTCCACGAAAAAAAACTAACTACCATTTTTTTTGCCGACGTTGCGAGATCTTTGCAGTATTGCCAGTAACTGTCCTTCTGAGTAGACCTATACCGATGATTGCCTTTTATTTTTCGGATTATATTGATAGATCCATGTCTCGTCACCAGTAACGATTTATGAAACACGCCTAGATGCCCCGTTTTCAAAACGTAGACGCATTTCATGGTACCAATCGACAGGAGTCTGTTTTTCGCTTTCGGAGAGCAAATGAGGGATCCATCGACAACAAAGCTTCCTCACTTCAAGATTGGTGTTGATGTAGGATGGTATGAATGCTGCCCGAACTAATGCCTACAATCTTTTCGATGTCCGTATATGTGATTCGTGGGTCTTCTCGCACCAACATTTCAGTAGTTCAAACATTTTCTGCCGTTACTGCTGTTTGTAGGGCCCCGGTTCTTTTATCATCTTTAAAATTAATTTTACCCGAATATATTAACTTACGCCACAAATAAATTTCATGCTAATTAACCTGTATTTTATTTCATTAGTGTGTTTATGTAATTAGACATTGTTTATGATCACCAATTAATTTGTAAAATGTAAAAAGGAGATCATTGTGACAATGAGCACCTTCTTGCCTTTTACATTTGGGAGTTAGGTAATTAAATTACAAACTATTGTTTATTTACCAACCCAATCCTTTAAAATAACAATATATTATGTTAAATATACACTGTTCCTTTTTATATGGGTACAAATCATATTCTAGTGGAGTTGTAAGTGTAGAAATTGAAATTTTAGGTGTAATTCTTTAATTACTCGTAACAATGAGAATGTTAATGAGCTCCTTCTTTTCCTGTGCCCTTCATATGTTAGTGGTGTAAAATAATTCACAAATAGCATCGTCGCTACTTTACAAGGCTAAGGACCGAGTGGAAAGCGTTCGGCGGAGGCTCTTTCCAGGCATCCGGGAAAGAGCAGCTGGAAAGAAGAGCGTTGAGCATGCCCATTAGGAGGCATATCAGTGGCACGGAGGGTGATATCAACACCCTGTTGCTAATGCCATCGGTGCTGGGTGCTGATTTCTTTTTGAGGTTTTTTATTGCTTCTGTGACTTCGTCGACTGTCACAGGCTGTAAGGGGTCGCCCTCAGGTGGTAGTGCAGACTTACGCTTGATCTCCGCTTCGACCTCTGCAAGGTGAGCGGGATATATCGGTTGGCTCTCTAAACTGTCCGCAAGGCATTCGACCTTTTCAGAGTCGTCAAAGGCGAGATCGTGGTTTCCTGGTTTAATGAGTGGCGGCATAGGTTTTTTTTTTTTATAGGATAAGGGTGACAAACGTGCACACAGTCTACCTGGTGGTAAGTGGTTGCTGCGGCCCATAGACATCTACATCTATCCTCGTTTGCGAATCAAAATGCAGATGCGTTGCCACCCGTGAGGACTAAGATGGAATGCCTCATTTCCAGTAAAAAGGGCCTCCGGCCACCTGCACTCACCAAGCGAAACGCAGAGGTAAACCTCTATTTCACGCTGGTATTCTGTGAGGTCGTGGTACCACCCCGGTTCGAGCCGGCCCATCCGTGCGACAGCAAAAGCTGCCGCGTGGCTCTACCACTGTGGATTTATATGTGGATACCAGGTGAGGATTGTTCTACTTTCAGAGCTCGGGTCAGCGGCCAGAAGGCAGTTTGTGATGGCTCGATGTTCATCAGCAGATTATCCCACTTATCATATAACTAAACTCTTTGATGCGCTATTTCACCTCGTTTTGGAGGTTGTGCAGTTGGAATTTGTTGTCTAGGGTACGATAGTGATCATATTGTCTTAGGGCCGCGTTCTTCGCTTTAATCAGCTGTATATCGAGTGTAATCGAATATCACTCGGAAGCTTCATGTGTCGATTGCTTGATACTCGAACCCTACGAGAGCATTCTTCAACTGTAGAGGTGAAGTGGGCCGATAGGGAGCTAATCGCCAGGGATTTTGTCTAAGTGCTGGGAGGTAGTAGACTCGAGTTTTGACCTAGAGCTTACGCCAGACCACGATGGTTTTGGTCTGAAGGATCTTACCTGCGGGTTGGCCCAGCTGCATTAGAACTTGCCCTTGCAGTAGTAGCGGAGCCCTATTCTGTTCCCGACCATCCTCGCTGGTTCGGTGATGAATTGGGCTCTGTAGCCATCTACTGGGGGAGTGCAGAAGAAGCTCCACCCTGCGCCCTATTGATTAGGGGGCAGGGCTTCGTTGCTGTGCAATGGGGCCCCCTGGCTATGGTGGGCTGCTATGTCTATCCCAATAGGCCCCTTGCCTACTACGAGGTGTACCTAGACGAGGTGGCGAATTGTGTTCGCGAATGTCAACCTCGTCCGTTGATAGTCCTAGGAGATTTTAACGGCCACACCAGGGCCTGGGGCAACTCCAGAGACGATCCAAAGGGAGATACAGTGATGGAATGGGCGGCTGGGCTGGACCTCCGATTAATGAATCGGGGGTCCGTAAGCACATGTGTGCGGTGGCAGGGGGAGTCCATCGTAGATCTTACGTGGACTACTCCTCCTGCAATGCAAATGCTGTCGGGCTGGCGAGTGGCGGAGGAGGCGGTTACACTGACCGACCACCGCCATATCGTGTTCGATGTCGCACTTCACGAGCCCGACAGTAACCCCAATCGCAGAGGGCGCAGCACACCGCGGCGTTGGTGTCTTAATCGGCTCGACCGGGATAAGCTAGAAGCCGCCGCCATCGTTGCGTCCTGGCCGGATAGCGCCGAAGAGGTTCAGTCCGATCCTGAAGTGGAAGCATACTGATTTCGGGGTACGATGGCGCAAATTTGCGACCTATCCATGCCAAGAACCAGTCGCCCCAAGCGTAGAGCAGTGTACTGGTGGTCGGCAGAAATCGCACGACTCCGTGCGCTCTGCTTGCGGAGTCGGCGCCAGTACACCAGAACTCGAAGGAGAATAAGGCGAGCTCCACCTGAGGAGGTAGCCAGACTCTACGGGGCGTACCGAGCGGCTACAAAGGCGCTTCAATTTGCTATAGCCAATGCCAGGTCTCGGTCCTGGAAAGAGCTTCTGGAGGGACTCAACGAGGATCCCTGGAGGCGTCCATACAGGATGGTACTGGGTAAGCTCCGGCCTTGGTCACCTCCCTTGACGGAGACTCTCGATCCGGATCTGCTGGGAAGGGTGATCAGCACGCTCTTTCCAGAAGACCGGTCCAGTCCCTCAGGTCATCTACCGTCTTCATGGGAGTGGCAGGATGAGATGGGGTGACCGTTGAAGAACTGGACCGAGCCGTTAGCCGCTTAAAAGCCCGGAATACAGCACCGGGGCCCGATGGAATCCCGGGCCGGGCCCTAGTGCTGAGTCTGGCTGCTCTGGGGGACAGGGTCAGGCAGCTGTTTACCAGGTGTCTGCGCTGTGCCACGTTCCCCACAGCCTGGAAAGAAGCAAGGCTGGTCTTCTTGAAGAAGGAGGGCAGGGCCGCTGATTCTCCCTCTGCGTACCGCCCCATATGCCTGTTGGACGAGATTGGCAAATTATTCGAGAGGATAGTTGCCGGTCGGCTCAATAGGCATCTGTCGCGCGTCGGTCCCGATTTGGCCGATAGCCAGTTTGGGTTCCGATGGGAGCGTTCCACTATAGATGCGATTATGCGCGTCCGCTCCCTGTCGGAACAAACAATATCCCAGGGTGGTGTGGCGTTAGCGATAAGTCTTGATATCGTAAACGCCTTTAACTCCCTACCCTGGGATGGCATCAAGAGGGCACTGGCACATCATCAGGTGCCCCCTTACCTGCAAGGTATTATCGGGGACTACTTGCGCGACAGGTACATTCTGTACATGGGGCAAGATGGCAGGAAGATCCGGAGGGAGATCAAACGTGGGGTTCCACAGGGCTCGGTGATGGGGCTGCTACTGTGGAACCTCGTCTATGATGCGGTTCTGCGAATCGATCTTCTCGCTGGTTTAGATATCGTCTGCTATGCTGACGACACATTGGTGATCGCCAGCGGGATCACTTTCGAGAGGGCCAAGGAGCTCGCCGAACTCGGAGCGGAAGTCGTCGTTGCCAAAATTCACGAGTTGGGATTAGAAATAGCTCCTCACAAGACCGAGGCCCTATGCTTCCATAAATTACCAAGGAGCAGGGAAACACCCGACTCGTGTATCCGCGTGGGTGGGTCTGAAGTCAGAGTGGTGAGGTATATGAAGTACCTAGGCCTCCACCTGGACAGTCGCTGGGGCTTCGAAGAACATTTCGAGCGCCTAGTCCCCCAGATCGAAAGGGTAGCGGGTGCTATGCATAGACTGCTGCCCAATCTAGGGGGACCAACAGAGGAAGTACGTCGCCTCTATGCGGGAGTTATACGATCCGTAGCTCTATATGGAGCGCCTATATGGGCAAAAAAGCTGGCCATCCGGCGCTGTAGATGTACGTTCGAATCCGTGCCCTTCGCCAGAGTGGTGGTAATGAGCCAGAAGAGGCGCTCGAATCAATTAAACGGCAGGAGCGACAAAACGCTCTGGCGTCATGGCGCTCTCGACTCGAGGAGCGCTATGAACGCAGACGCATCATTGAAGCAATCCTGCCGGTTTTCGAAGCCTGGATGCAGCGACGAGCAGGAAGACTCACCTACAGAATTACTCAGATAATTACCGGGCACGGGTGCTTCGGTGACTATCTGTGCAGGATTGGACGTGAGGCAACGGCGGACTGCTTCCACTGTGGTGGACGGGATCAGGACTCCGCTTCCCACACACTCGCAGTATGCCCAGCGTGGCAACAGGAACGGACAATCCTGGTAAACCGCATCGGACGGGACCTCTCCCTGCCATTAGTTGTGTCGGCGATGCTGAGCGGGGATTCGGCGTGGAGAGCCATAGCCACCTTCTGTGAATCTGTTATGATTCAGAAGGAGGCTTCTGAGCGGGAATGGGAGAGGGCGGATCCCGCGCGGAGACGACGTCACCAAGGCGTTTGTCACGGCCCTCCTCTTGAAATCGGTGTTCCCCTACCAGAAACGGGGCCTCCGGGGTTGCAGACGCTCGGGGCGGGGCCTCGAGCGCCTAGTTATGTAACCCCCGAGGAGTACGATGGCTCGGAAGTGGTCTCGAGACATCGTGGAAGCACTGCGAGGGTGCTGGGGCCAGAAAGTACTGCCCCTGGGACGTGCTATTAGTGTAGCAAAGCGATGAAGGGGCCCCGGTTGCATTCCGAACGGAGATCCCGGGACCCCTCTTATATGCTGATGGTGACCACCGTGGGGTTTTAGCCGGTAGGAGTCCGGAATAACCTTTTGTTGCCCCCGCAGCGGAAGGTATCCGTGAGGATTTCCCCACGAAAAAAAAAGCTGCATTAGAACTGGTCTATGGTCCGAGTCGAGTTCTAATATTGTTTCAATCGATGATATCGACAAGCGGATATCTTTGAGTATAGCTACGTCAAGGACGTCCGGTTGATGCCTGGTTGCGAATGGGTAGCGAGTTGGAATCTCAGGCGCGATAACATCGAAGTTTAGTCGCTCCGTGAGATCGAACAAAACCATACCGCATAATATAACAATCGTTAATATGTTGCATGAGCTAAGATAGTGGAGTGACAGGAGTGAACTCGACCGACACGTTCGAAGTTTACAGAGCCCAAGTACAGAATGTCTATCAATGATCGTTAGTTATTATTATATTCAGAACATAAGGATTCTTTAATGATGGTCATAATATAATTAAGTTCTTGGGCTATGCTCATCATCATCATTATCATCATTACAGCCCTTCACAAGTCCACTGCTGAACATAGGCCTCCCCCAAAGAATGCCACAAAGCACGGTCCTGAGCCACCTGCATCCATCGACTTCCTGCATATCTTACCAGGTCGTCACTCCATCTAGTGGGGGGTCGCCCTACACTTCGCCTGCCGGTACGAGGCTGCCACTCGAGAACCTTTCTTCCCCATCGGTTGTCGGTTCTTCGAGCTATATGGCCGGCCCATTGCCACTTCAGCTTACTAATCCGTTGGGCTATGTCGGTCACTCTGGTTCTACTGCGGATATCCTCATTTCTGAGTTTATCACGCAGAGAAACTCCGAGCATAGCCCTCTCCATAGCTCGCTGAGCGACCTTGAGCTTCCTCATCCGGCCAGCAGTGAAGGACCACGTCTCAGTTCCGTATGTCATCACTGGCAACACGCACTGGGTGTACAGTCTCGTTTTCAAGTTTTGAGGTATACCTGACGAGAAGATGTGCCGTAATTTCCCGAACGCTGCCCAACCGAGTTGAATCCGTCGATTGACCTCTCGGTCGAAGTTGGACTTACCTAGTCGGACTATTTGTCCCAGGTAAACATACTCGTCAACTACTTCGAGCTTAGTGTTCCCAACAATTACCGGCATAGGTGTGACATGGACATTAAACATGATCTTTGTTTTGTCCATGTTCATCTTAAGACCTATCCGTTGGGAAACACTATTGAGGTCATTGAGCATAGTGCTTAGGTCCTCCAGCGATTCTGCCATAAGGACTATATCGTCGGCAAATCGAAGGTGAGTGATGTACTCGCCATTGATGTTGATACCGTATCCTTTCCAGTCCAGAAGCTTGAAAACATCTTCCAATGCAGCGGTAAAGAGTTTCGGGGATATGACGTCACCCTGTCTTACACCTCTCTGCATTTGGATAGGTTTCGTACTCTGGTTCTGTACTCGGATAGCCATCGTAGCCCTACTGTACAAGCACTTCAACACTTCGATATACCGACAGTCAACTTGGCATCGCTGAAGGGACTGCAGCACCGCCCAAATTTCGACGGAATCAAAGGCTTTCTCATAGTCCACATACGCCAGACATAGTGGAAAATTGTACTCCTCGGACTTCTGTACAATTTGCCAAAGGGTATGTATGTGGTCTATGGTGCTAAAGCCTTTTCGGAAACCGGCTTGTTCGGGAGGCTGGAAGTCGTCAAGTCTGCGTGCGAGACGATTCGTAATGACTCTCGAAAACAGCACGTAGACGCGGCTCAGAAGGGAAATCCGTCTGTAGTTCTTCAAGAGAGCGTTGTCGCCTTTCTTGAAGAACAAGACCACCGCACTTCTGCTCCACGCCTCCGGTGTAATGCCACCATGGAGGACGGAATTAAAGAGCTTCTGAAGGACTTCAAGTACCGGTTTTCCACCCGCTTTCAGAAGCTCCGCTGTAATTCCATCCTGGCCTGGGGCCGTGCCGTTTTTAAGGTGCTGGAGAGCCATTCTAATCTCGCTCAGACTGACGTCCGGGATATCATCGGAATAATGTCGGATAAGACTCGCTCTTGGATCGTTACTCACACTTGCGTGTGGCTCCAACGATGACGTGTACAGCTGCCCATAGAACCTCTCAATCTCACTCAAAATCTCAGGTGCCCCGGAAACGATGCTGCCACATTCGGTCTTCAGCTTTGACAGTTGGCTCTTTCTGGCAGACAGATCTCTGGCAAAGACTTTGGAGCCTTGATTCCGCTCGATCGCTTCTTCAATACGAGCTGTATTGAAGTTGCGTAAGTCCCGCCGCATGCATTTGGAGATCTGTCTGTTCAGTTGCCTGTATGCTGTCAAATCTGTTGAAGAATGTAGCTTCATCTCCCGTCTAACAGTCATGAGATTAAGAGTGTGATAAGAGAGTTTTTGTGTTCTTCTGCGGCGGGTCTTGCAGAACTTAGCTCCGACCGCATGGACAGTTTCCACGAGCTTGTCATTCAAATCGTCCACTTCATTGCAGTCTTCTAGGCACTGAAAACGGTTTTGCAACTCGAGCTGAAAGGTTTCGGGACTTTGGATTAGAGCACGAGGGGGACGGAGCGTTGACTTCATTAGACGAGACCTCTCCAACTTAACGTTTAGGTTCAGTGTGCCTCTAACCATTCGGTGATCGCTGCCGGTTTTCACCCTCGCGATCACTGAGACATCACTGAACAGTTGTCGTCTGGTCGTCATAATGAAGTCAATCTCATTTTTTGTCGAACCGTCGGGGCTGGACCAGGTCCACTTCCTGTGGGGCCGCTTCTGGAAGAAAGAGTTCATCATAAAGGGTCCCTCTTTCTTCATGAAGTCGGCCAACTGCTGGCCCCTTGGGTTCCGTTGCCCTATTCCAAATTTCCCCACTTTCAGCTCACCGCTCTCTCTTGTGCCTAGTTTTGCATTGAAGTCTCCCATCAACACCGTATATTGGGTTTTGGAGGAATGCATGGCTCTAGAGATATCCTCATACATTTCCTCCACCTCCTGATCGGGGTGTGCCGAGGTTGGTGCGTAAACCTGTATGACCTTCAGCGAATACCGTTTGGCGATTCTGAGTATAAGGTACGCAACCCTCGTCGACACACTCTCAATCTTTACAACGTTGTTAACGAGAGACTTGTGGACGATAAATCCGACACCTCCTTGGGACAGATGGTCGCCCTCCCGGTAATAGAGCAAGTTGCCGGATTCGAGGATTACCGTGTCCTCCCCCTCTCTTCGGACTTCGGATAATCCTATAATATGCCAGTGTAACTTGTCTATCTCTTCTTCCAGCTCCACAATCTTCTCGTCAGTCCTCAGAGGCTATGCTCATTAGCTCAAAATTTCTACTTCACACTATCTTTGCATTTTGAAATCTAGGTATATAATTGTTAGTTCACTATTATTCAAAGTCACAAGTATTTTTTTTTTGACATATTAACTCAATATCTCGTATATTTGTCACAGTATTTAGGAACGCAAAGCACCAGTCAACAACCACTATCCAGTCCTGGTGTATCCGGTGCTCCTCAACAAGTTGGCACCGATACAGATGAAACTACGGACAGCGAACAAGAGGTAAAAATATTTATCATAGTTAAGAATAAATGCTGTTATTAGACATTAAAATATTTGATATGTCTAATGGCGCATGCTACACACTCGATAATTATCACGATATTTGGATCATAATCTAGGATTACGATATTTATCGAGTGTGTAGTATAGCATATCACGGATCGTGATACGGAACGCTGGATTTCTAAAAATCCAGAAATCCAACGATCTGTATCAAGTATCGTCGATGAATATCGAGTGTCTAGTCTCTGCTCGATATTTATCGTGTCAGTATTCATTGTCAACGATGGAGGAGGACGCGCTTCTTTATACGGTAGCGGCGCCTGCCGTACCTCAAACAAATGACCAAAAAAACTTGAAAGAATTCACGTGAGAGAAACATTGGCTGGATAAAGCATTGGCTCCTTCCATTTTTTTCTCTTTACACGTCTTTTTAATGCTATCGTTAATATAATAGCAATGCAAGTTTTACTTTTATAGTCACTCATTACGTTACTGGCTTCGGATTATGTAACGTACTCGTCTTTAGTGAATGAAATCTACCGTTGTACTGATGCGATTAGTATCGAGTGTGTAGTATGTAAATTCGATCCAAAATATTGCAAGATAAAAATCACGTTAAATATCTTGATAATTATCGAGTGTGTAGCATGCGCTAATGACCAACACACACGGTCAGTTATACTGATCAGTTGAACTGACCAGTTCAATCAGTTAAAACGGATGTAAGCCAAAACGATTTCCCCACTCACTGGCTTCTAATTTCAACTTAAGATTTCACACTCACGGTCAATATTTGGATGTACGTCAGTTCAACTGATCAGTTTAACTGACCGTGCGCCTGGAAATACCGTGGGTTGGTAGATTTTCAATTACAATTCAATTTAAAATTTTTGGTTGCAGAGCAATAACCTAAGTTTCAATAAATCAGTAGTCAAACAAAATCCTCAGTACAAGTGCGCCGAATCATCTGTAGCTGTTTACAACAATCGACCTACAACACAATCCAGCAAGTTCTACAGTCGCAGATCAATGGTGAGCAGTACTCCACTACCTGGAAGAGATAATGACGAAAATATTAAACTCACCTTCGACCAAAGCACACAAACAGATAATGAGATGTTATATCCCCCATTACCTAAAATCGAGGAGATGGAAAGTGTACTCAACCGGCTTTACAGACAGTTCCTTTCATTGATATCAGAGATTCACATAGACGATGCTATGTCTATTTTATCAGAGGTATCGGAACTAGAACAGTATGCCCCTGAACATTCTGTAAACGAAACATCAACAATGAAAGATGAATCAACTGTAGAACAAAATGGAAACACTACTGCTGGCGGAATTGAGGATAAAAATCAATTAAAACCAAAAGTTTTGCGTGTGAGACGTGCATCGGCGCACACAACTATTAGTGGAGAACCTGGGAATAATAATGCAGATATGGTAAAGCTCTTTTTTTATTATAATACAGTAACTTGCCAGGTAGTCAATACAAACGGTCTAGAACTAGTTTGTTGTGTTTTGCGCTTTTTCTTACGTGGTGGAGCTACGTGCCAGTTGTATTTTGGTTGCATTAGAAATGGGTTGGCATGAAATGCTGCTGTCTTTCGTATGTTAAGTGTAGAGAACCGGATACCGTTTTTACTAGTAACGAGGAATTCCATCCTTAGCCTCCAGGGGTGACAATGCATCTGCTTTTTGATACTTAAAGAGAAAGGTGTCTAGGGGCTACATCATTCACTTACTATCAGGTGTACTGGCGTGTGCTCGTTTGTCATCTTTAGTTCTGTAAAAAAGTGGCTACTGTAGTCCATGAACACCTACAACCAACTTCAATTGATTAAAACGTCGCTGAGTACCGGAACAAACTTGTGTCTGAAGTCGAGTCTTTGCTGAACAAAGTCTCGGATTGGGGGCGACTAAATCTAGTCCAATTTAATCCTCAGAAGACACAAGTTTGCGCGTTTACCGCTAAAAAGAACCCCTTTGTCGTATCTCCTCAGTTTCAAGGCACTCCCCTTCTTGCCTCAGCCAGTATCGGTATCCTCGGAGTCGACATATCGAGTGACGTGCAGTTTCGTGGTCACTTGGAAGGGAAGGCCAAATTGGCCTCTAAAAAGCTTGGCGTGCTCAGCAGAGCGGGACAGTATTTCATGCCGGCACACCGCCTGCTACTTTACAAGGCGCAAGTTCGGCCTCACATGGAATACTGTTCCCATCTCTGGGCAGGGGCTCCCCAGTGCCAGCTCCTTCCACTTGACCGCATCCAACGCAGAGCGGCTCGAATTGTCGACGACCGAGCCCTTTCCGATCGGCTCGATTCATTGGCACTGCGAAGAGATGTTGCATCCCTTTGCATTTTCTTTCGCATCTACCATGGGGAGTGCTCTGAGGAATTGTTCGGATTAATCCCAGCCGCCAAATTTCACGAACGCACATCGCGGCAGAACTCCCGATACCATCCACACCATCTGGATGATTGGCGGTCCACCACTGTGCGATTTAGAAGATGTTTTCTTCCTCGCACGACCTCCTTGTGGAATCGATTACCATCAGCGATTTTTCCGGACCGATACGACTTAGGGACCTTCAAGAAAAGAGCGTACTCCTTTTTAAAAGGCCGGCAACGCATCTGCGATTCCCCTGGTGTTGCAGTTGTTCATGGGCGGCGGTAGTCACTTACCATCAGGTGAGCCGCATGCTCGTTTGACCCTCTCCTATAAAAAAAAAAAAGTTTCTTAAGACTCAGTTGTTCATGGGCGGCGGTAGTCACTTACCATCAGGTGAGCCGCATGCTCGTTTGACCCTCTCCTATAAAAAAAAAAAGTTTCTTAAGACTCTGAGTCTGAATTGGTGCTAAGACAAAGTGTATCAATTAATTAAAAACCCGTAAACAGAATCTATTAAAATGTGTGAAATTATTTTATTCCCTTTAGTTTTATGAAGTTAATTTTTACATTTTAAAAAGTTTATTTTTTATAGAATAGGTGTATAGGGTAACAAATGAGCACACAGCCCACCTGATGGTAAGTGGTTGCTCTAACCCATAGACATCTACATTTATCCTCAATAAAGAATCAAAATGCAGATGCGTCGTCCTTCCCCGGTCAAGTCGACCCACTCGTGCTACAACTATTTACAATCTATACGTGGTAGAGCCACACTTTTTTATAGTATAGGGTGACAAACGAGCACACAGCCCACCTGATGGTAAGTGGTTGCTGTAACCCATAGACATCTACATTTATCCTCAATAAAGAATCAAAATTGAAAAAAAAAATGCAGATGCGTCGTCCTCCCCCGGTCAAGTCGACCCACTCGTGCTACAACTATTTACAATCTATACGTGGTAGAGCCACACTTTTTTATAGTTTGGGGTGACAAACGAGCCAGTCCACCTGATGGTAAGTGGGTGCTGTGGCCCATAGACATCTACATTTATCCTCAATTAAGAATCACAGTACAAATGCGTTATCACCCCTGAGGACTAAGATGCAATGCCTCGTATCCAGTAAAAAGGGTCTCCGGTTCTCTACACTCACCATACGAAACACAGCACCATTAAGCTGCTATTTTATGCTGGTATTCTGTGAGGGTGTGGTCCTACCCCGGTCGAGCAAAAACATTCGTGCTACAACCATAATATAGCTGCAGCGTGGCTCTACCACGTGGAATAAAAGCGCTATATTATGGTTGTAGCATGAAGAGATAGGCTCGACCGGGGAAGGACCATGCTATTACTATAGCTACTTATTTAAAAAAAACTAAAATGACAAACATTTTAAAACCATCATCATCATCATTACAGCCTATAAAAAGTTCACTGCTAGACATAGGCCTTCCTCTATGGATGTAGGGAATAGTGGATAAATGGAATATTTGCCATAGTTACCACGCTTGGCAGACGGGTTTAACAAACGAATTTTTTATATGAATTATAAGTTGTAATCAATCTGTCACCTCTTACGATACGCACGAGATAATATGAGGTAGTAGTCTTGTGGATTCTCTGACACCGCCACTATACGGCGACAGTTATAATACACAAAAAATGTACTTCTATTGTATTTTGTGCAAGTTCTTGTAACAAGTTTATTACTTCTGATTTAACAGTCATAATCCTGTGATAATTCTTCTATTATGAAATTTAAAGGTACCTATTGGGAGCGGTAATGTTTTGGTGCCGACAAGATTACTCGCAGATTTGGACTGGACGTCATATACAACTGCAACCAGACAATTGCTACAGGCCGTTTTTCCACGAAGGTAATTACTTATGCTCTTGAAAACAATACAGAGATAATGGACTGAGCGTTGATTTTCGTAAATTCTGATCTAGTGAACGCAAAAAAATTTAAAAGAGGCAATTAACCGCGTTTATTTGTCCCTTTCTGGCATTGTGATTTACATATAAAAATAAAATTTTCATACTTACTTATATAACTTATTTAATTATTAACATTAGGTATGTATTTAGTAAATAATAATATAATCTAGGAAATGGCATTTGGTTTTGCTAGTTGTCCCATAAAAATCTAAAAAACATAATATGGACATTAAAAAGCGCGTGATATAGCAGTCTGAGTAGCAGGCCTGGCTACAAAGTCACAGGTAATGGGTTTTCATTCTGGTCAGGACCAAAATTTGTACAAATAGGTACATAAATTATTCATTTTCGGGTACGGTTTTGTGGGAACCCGTGTCACTGACACGACATCCTTTCCTCCTCCAATCTTACCAAATAAGCATTATCTCGGGAGTAAGTTAAGTTATATTATAGCGTATAAGTATACACAATATAATTTAAAATTAAAATTTTGTACAACCAACTTCAATATAAATTATTACGTGTAACTCAAAAACTATTGGTCAGACCTTAATCAAATTCATATGGGACCACATGCGAAGCACCAGCTTTCAAATAAAAAAAGAATCATCACCCAGTAAAAATTTATGAGGAAACACACATAAAAAAAAACATAGATTATTATGATATTGAGTACCGTCTCCTTTTTGAAGTCAGTAGAAAACAGACGCACTTGGCACTTTCCTGCGCAGTTGATTTTTAAAACAGTCCATTTATTTGTGTATAAAGAAAGATAGAACATATTTTTTATTGCTAAAACTTGAGTTTACAAAACATGAATTTACAAACAAAAAAGTACTTAGCAAAATATTAAGAAAAAAAAAGGAGTGCAGCATGGGCGTATAAAAAAAAAGCCACCGACTCAGCATAATGATGTTGTAACAGACAATTATGAGGATTTGCGAGCAATCGTTGGACATAATTTATTACATAAAACTAACAGTAAAAACCTATAAAACTAGTAGTAAAAACTCTATATCACAGAATATTTTTCTCTCACAGAGTTTTGGCGACTCACTGCCTTTCGGGAAAACAATCTCCAGCATTTACTAACAAACCACCGAAGAAACGCTTAGATCCTAAATTAGTTGATGATATCATTGACACTGTAGCTGAGAGATGTGGTGTTCATAAACGACTTGTGAGGTAAGATTGAAATTAAATAATATACACTATTTACGTAAGAAAAATACGAACAAAATGACTTATGGTTTTATTTTTGATCGTAACTTTTAATTGGAAATGCACAGTCGAATCATATTTTACACGAATTATTTATGGTTCATTGAAATTAAGGAAAATTTATAATACAAATATAATAGCAAACGAAATACTCTTTATTTTAATTGAGATCAGCCAAAATCTATTTTGTCCTTATGCCACGACAAACTACATAATTATAGACAAAGTTCACAAATTAAAAGCTTGATTCGTTTAGGTCATTGAATTACACAGTGTTATATTAAACAGTTTAATATTAAATCAATGGTTTAGGTAGATATGTGTAGAAAGTGTAAGGCCAACGCAAACATCTTAAGCACCGTAACCTATCTTCTCAGGGCCTAGATCGAAAAGAAAAGATTATTGCAATAAATGCATGTACAGTTCTCTTTATCATCTTAAATGTTATTAGGTTTTTTTTCTTCACCATCAGTATTTTCCAACATTTTAGTGACGTTCTGTCTCCTCTTCTGTGGGAGAGCTTTGGACTCACTTTTCGATTTAAGTGTCCTCTTATTAGTCGAAGAAGTTGAAACTAAAGCGGTCTTCTGAGTCTTCAGCTTACCATTCTCTTGTCTACTAATAAAACGTCCTTTTGGAACTGGAGAATTTTTTTCAATAGAGACATCAAGAATGGAGGGCGTTGGATATTGGTTATTAGCACTAGATGATTTAGATTTAAAAGTGGAGTTAAAATAACCTTTTATTGCTTTTGGTTGCTTTTGGTTGTTGCTTGGATCAATTGTCGTCTTGTTGTTTGTTAGGTGTTGCAATTCAAACTCCATTATTTTCCTCAGGTGTCACGGCTCTGGACAACTGTAGTTTAAATTCAATTGCTGCAACTGAAAGAATGTTAAAGTTGGTAAAAAATTACTTTGCGTACATCCGCTCGACATTTTTTATTGCCTTTATCGGCTTTACTCGTAGTAACAATAAGGTCCTTTTCCCTTATTCTCTGCTTTAGGGACTTAAAAACAGGGAACTCAGGATTGAAATAGGAAGATGCGGGCACAGCCCGAATTTCATTAGCTACCAAACTTTTAACGATGTTATCTTTCTTCCCGTTCACAACAGCCATTTCCGCGTCAACAGCCATAGTCTCTAACGATTTTTGGGAGACCGAAGGTGTTAAATTATACTTTAGGCTTTATGTAAAAGGGACAGCTCATCTGTTGGAAACTGGACATCGGAAAGATTTTTAACTCGGGGATAAAATTGGTGATATTCTGTATGTATGTCGTTATTACGATTACGGGATGACGAGGATACAAGTCGTTGTAATTTACGGGACTGAATTTGATATTTCTCGTAAACAGCCATTGAAGCAAGTTCTCTGGCTTTCCTATCCAAAATATAAAATTCAATATTATGTAATTTATATGAAAGTTCAGAGTATAATACTTTAAGGTGGATTTTTAAATTATCTCTATTGGAAAACCAACGACGACACTCCTCATTAAGCCAAATATTCTGAGCTTTAGAAATAGCAATACTGGCCGCTCGACTATTTGTGCCGGAACGTATTTGAATATAATTGGAAATAACATGACGTTGTTTGCACTACTGATTGAACCAAATATTTTGGGCAGCAATACGATGGAGTTTTGTTAGTTTGACATAGTCTTGCCTGGTCGGCCGTGCTAGCCTTTTTAAGATAATTAATAGAATCAGGCGATACTTTGCGGAAGTCCATTATATTAAAGTTGGCAAAAAATTACTTTGCGTACATCCGCTCGATGTAGAGCTATTAATTATGGAAGAATGTTTGTTACAGGAAACAAAAAATCGATTGTCTTGATGCTGTGTCATTGGCCTAGCGATGGATACATAAACAGAAGTTTCTTACTGGTTAGGTCTTCTTTTTACCGTCTTTATCGGGTAGTGGCGGTCAGTTGCGGCGTAGCGTGGGTTGCCACCTAGGACGGTTTCCTATCAAGCACCCTCCAAATAAAACAAAAAATGCTAAACATGCTTACTGGACTTTATTTCGCTAAATTATTCTATTAATCATCATTATCATTACAACCCTTCACAAGTTAACTGCTGAACTAAGGCTTCCCCCAAAGAATGCCACAAAATACGGTCCTGAGCCACCTGCATCCATCGACTTCCTGCATGTCTTACCAGATCGTCAGTCCTCCTTAAGGGGAGCCCCCCCACACTTTGCCTACCGGTATGAGGCTACCACTCGAGAACCTTGCTTTCCAATCGGTTGTCGGTTCTTCGAGATATATGTCCGGCTCATTGCTACTTCAGCTTACTAATCCGTTGGGCTATGACGGATACTCTGGTTCTACTGCAGATATCCTCATTTCTAAGTTTATTACGCAAAGAAACCCCGAGCATAGCCCTCTCCATAGCTCGCTGAGCGACCTTGAACTTCCTCAGACGGCCAGCAGTGAAGGACCGCGTCTCAGATCCATAAGTCATCGCTACTATTGAGGTTATTCACCACAGTGGTTAGGTCCTCCAAAGATTCTGCCATAAGGGCTATATCGTCGGAATATCGAATGTGGGTCATGTACCCGCCGTTGATGTTAATACCGTACCTTTTCCAGTTCAGTGGCCTGAAATGTCTTTCAATGCAGCGGTGAAGTTTCGGGTATATAATGTCGCCTTGTGTAACACCTATCTACAATTGAATAACTTTCATACTCTGGTTCTGTACTCGGATAGCCATCGTTGCCCTTCTGAACAAACACTTCAGTACTTCGATAGGTATACCGACAGTAAACTTGGCACCGCTGAAGGGATTGCAGCGCCACCCAAACTTCGACGGAATCAAAGGCTTTCTCATAGTCCACATACGCAAGACAAAGTGGCAGATTGTACAATTTGCCGAAGGGTATGTGGTCCATGGTGATCAAGCCTTTTCGCAAACCGGCCTTTTCGGGAGGCCGGAATGGTGCCATCATGTAGGATGGAATTAAGGAGCTTCTTCAAGTACCGGTTTTCTACCTGCCAGAAGCCCCGTTGCAATTCCATCCTTACTCGGGGACTTACCGTTTTTAAGGTGCTGGAGAGCCTATAATGGCTATTTCGCTAAGACTGACGTCCGTGATGTTATCGGAATAGTGTCGGATAAGACTTGATCTTGGATCGTTGTTCATACTTGCGTGTGTTTCCAATGATAAAGTGTACAGGTATCACGGAAATGCTGTCAAATCTGCTGAAGACTACAGGATCATTCCCCGTATAACAGCCATATGATTAAGAGTGTGATCGGAGAGTTTTTGTGTTCTTCTGCGACAAGTCTTGCAAAACTTATCTCCGATCTCATGGACAGTTTCCATGAGCTTTTTATTCGAATCGTTCACTGTATTGAAGTATTCTAGGAACTGAAAGTTTTCGGGGATTTGGATTAGAGCACGATGGGGATGGAGCATTGGTTTCATTAGATGTAACGTCTCCAGCTTACTGTTTAGGTACAGTGTGCCTATCACCATTCGGTAATCGCTGCCATTTTTCACCCTCGCAATCACTCAGTCATCACTGAACAGTTGCCGTCTAGTCGTCATAATTAAGTCAATCTAATTTTTTGTCGAACTGTCGACCAGGACCACTTTCTATGAGGCCGCTTCTGAAAGAAAATATTTCATCATAAAGATATCTTTCTGCACGAAGTCGACCAGCTGCTGGCCACATGGGTCGCCTTGCCCTATCCAGAATTTACCTATCTTTAGCTCATCGTTCTTCTTGTACATAATTTTGCGTTGAAGTATCCCATTAACACCGTATAGTGAATTTTGATTAAAGCATGGCTCTAGATATATCCTCATACATTTCGTTCAACTTCTCATCGCGATGTGCCGAGGTTGTGTGTAAGCCTGTATGACCTTCAGCGAATACCATTTGTTGATTCTGAGTATAAAGTACGTCGACACATGCCAAATCTTTACAACGTCGTTAACGAGAAACTTGTGGGCGACACCTCCTTCAGATAGATGGTGTCCCTCCCGTTTATATAACCAATTGGCGAATTCGAGGATTACCGTGTCCTCCCTCTCTCTTCGGACTTCAGATAAACTAATAATATCCCAGCGCAACTTGTCTGTCTCTTCTTCTATCTCTAAGATCTTATCGTCAGTAATCAGGGTAAATGCGTTATATGTTGCTAAGTCGAGTCGTCTTGCCCCGCCGTTACGGTGGTCGTCATCATAGCTATGAATAGCGGTGCCACCGGGGACTGGAGGCCGCCGGGGATTGGGGGCCGCCGGGCTCTTAGCGCCGTCTTTTTGGAACTCTCGCCATGGGCTGATATAGTGTCATAGTTACCACGCTTGGCGAGCGGGTTGGCAACTGCAGTTTTTATTGTTATTTAACTGTTATCAGAGAGACACTACTGACCATCTTCTGTCTTAGTTTCCCTCTGTCGCCTCTTACAACACCCAATGGAAGTAGGTGGGGTAGCGGATATTCTTATCCGTTGGGTGACAGCGGATAAGAATATCCACTACCCCACAAGGGGTGCCTTGGTGCATGGCTCCCGGGGCGGACCGCCCCCCTTTAACGCCGCCACTGGTGGCAGTGTAAAAATATACACTACCCCATATCATCCCGTGGGTGTCGTAAGTGGCGACAGAGGGAAATAAATCAGGAGATGGGCAGCAGCGTCTTTCTAATAACGACTAAAAATAAAAAATAAAATTGTGATTGCCATACCCAAGCGTGGCAACTATGTAAAATATCCCCCTACGGGGGAGGCTTATGTCCAGCAGTGGACAAGCTGTAACAGTAACGGGAGGCTGTTCTTTGGAGGTATCGTTCAGTGGTATTTTTGTAGTATCCTCAGTTCGTACATATTATCGGGTAATATTTCAGAATTTCGTAGCCAAATATAATTGTTTTTGAATCCATGACAACCACTTTGCTGGTGACTGTATGTGTAACTGTAACTGTCTTGCCGTATGCATATATTGAATAGGCCTACAATAAGATGCTGCATTAATGAGTGCAGTGTGAAGGCAGATAAATAATAATAATACCGTTTTTGCGCATATTCTAGCGTTTCTTTACCTTTATGACTTGCATGTTCGTCTACAATCAAAATTATACCCCACCTGCATTGCCTAAAAAATTGAAATGATTTATATTTATATAATGATAATTGAAATTGAAATTGACGATATTTTTTTTAATAACTGGCTTTACGGCTCTGGGATCGAGCCCTTCTGAGCCTGAAGTTACAATATATTGTAATTATCCTTCATATTACACTGCTTCACAATATGTTGATGAATCACATTGTGCAGTGCAGCTCTTGGGAGATTTTGACGGCAACTTGAGCCAGCAGACAGCTGATGGTTGGCCATGGTATCTCAAGGCTCCTAAGCAGACAGACACCTTATTTTGAGAATCACGTCGCTATCAGAGTACTTCTTTCACAGTTTCCACTAATAGTTCACATGCGCAGACACTTAATACAAAAAATCGCACCACTTTTACATATCAAACTCCACTTTAAACCATTATTTAAACAATAATACAAGAGCAGCAAACCGCCCCCGGTCAAGTTCCCGCCAAAACTCCTGAATTAACGATAATTTGATCTATTGAACAGAGTAATTCACAAATACGTCTAGGGTTCTGATTACAACTGTATATTGTATACAGAGTGGGTATTTCCGTGTGGGACTCATTCGTGTGCAAGCAATGTAAAGACAAGGTCTTCAACGATCTCTTTTATTTAAAAATTTAAAGATAAATGTTTATTCTTGGTTTGTTTGTACAATTCGGTCGAACTTTGAATGGTTAATGATATCACAAAATTCAATTTTTAATATGGTTCACGTAATATAATAAAATACAGCAAAAGGGACGTTGCTGGAGCTCATTTGTAGGTTCACTCCATTACGAATGGTGAAGAGGGCGTTAGTATGTTCACAGTAGGGTAAGACCGAATCTGGATTGAATCACGTACAGGCCCCTAGGAAATGCGAGTATCAGGGCCCCGCACCCTTTTTCTAAATTCCTACATCACGTAAATTCCTTATAGTTTAAGACGACGGGCCAATAGTCAGTAGCCTAATTTGCCTTTAGTTTAATCCGGCTCTAGAAATGACGGTTCTTTGTTATTCCTGTGGCACAATAATTATCTTGTAGCTTGTGAAGACGATAACTTCCAAAGTGGTCGAAAATTGGCCATTTAGGACATCATCATTATCACAAAATAATATTTGTCAAAATCAGCAACATAACTACATATTATAATGTCTACATCAACTAATTTTTTTACAGGAGCTGCATTACTACGAAGTGTACTGATGAAGCAAAATTGTATAGAAACCGTCAACATTACAAACGTATGCGGCAAATGAACCAAAATCAAGATAACATGCCGCTTTCGTCCGCTTCGTCGAACGCTTCTTCAAATGCAAGAAATTAAGTTTTTTGTACATTTCTCTTAATTATCTTACCATTATAATGTATTAATTTCCATACTTTGTATTTTAAATTTTATTGCATTTTTATTCGATATTTGCACCTAATAAAGTTTTTCTTCATGTTTGAGAATTACCAGAGAATGAGGGCATCCATGACTTTTCTGCCACCAGGGCGGCGCCACTTTACAATGAGGTACAATATTTGACAGATTTCGCAGCGGGGAGGATAATTTCTTAGGAAAATGTAAACTTCAATGTTTCTTGCCGTATTTTTAGTTATATTTTGTATTAATTAGATTAAAAATGAATAAACTAAACAATAAATACAATTAAAAAGTAGAAACATTAGAAAAAAGAGTTAAAAAGTGTAAAAAATTTAATTTTTTTTCAATAATAATCTTTTTTAATACTCTTATATATATTTATACCACCATATTGATGGTGTTGGGATTAGTGGTGACGGGGATAGTGCACGCAATTTAGGGAGGGCGGGAGGTGCTCTTCATACTAGTTAAGACACATCATTTTATTTTATAACGCGGATATTTGCGAAGTAAATTTTTCTAAAAGCTTTTATAAAACTAATTTCTCAATTAACTGACATTGTGTAACAAACAACTTTACCTCAGTCACAACTAGCGACGTCTGGTGAGGGGTAGATTATTAGTCCTCATTCCATTACTATAAGATGTTGAATGCGCTCATTAAATAACTTTAATTTTAGATTAACATGTCGGCTGGTAGTGCCTTCAGACATTCATTAAAATTGACATTGGAAAAGGTCAAAAAGGCTTTCATAGTCTTCGACAAACTGCGCTTAGCGTCTTGTTTACCGGCAATAGGGAGCAGCTCCAAAAGTGACATCTAGGACTGCAATGGCCAATCCACATGCCAAGTGGCCAAATGGTTAACCTACAGGGAGACACATATATCCGAAAAACATGACTCATCTGCAGCAGTATAGTAAAAGTTTAAAATTTGAATGAAGGCATTTTTCTGCCGACTTCCAAAAAGGAGACACTACGTAGTCGTCTGCGTGTATGCTTATGCACACAGCAGGTGTCAGGTCTCGGGGCACGCCCCATTTGCCAGGAATCTCCTCGCGGTGCATCACTATGCACCGGTCGTGGGATCCGTTATGGCGTTGTTAGTTTGAAGCAGCGACTCGGGTTTGATTCCCCGGTCGCTGTAATCGATTTAAAAATTTCATGAATTTTTTTTCAGGTGGCGGGTAATATGGCCATCGCCTGTAAAAGTGGCATAATATGGCCATTTTCCTGAAAAAGGCGCTTAATTCGGTCAGTGCCTGAAAAAGGCGCCTAATTCGGTCTGAGGTAGTCCGGTTGTCTTGTCAGGTTAATGTGGCCAGGCGGCTAATGCAGCCCCGCGTCTAACCGGCTAACCGGGCCACAAATTGCTCGACTGTCTCCATCTTCAAGTTGGCCGCGATGACGTCGTTCCGCATGTAGCGACCTGCACCGAGGATGGTCCGTAGTGTCAAATTCTGCTGGACCTGTAGTCGCCGCTTCTGACGATCGCTCAGGAGCGCGTACCAGGCCGGCGCAGCATGTGTAAATCTTGATCTAATATAAGTCTTGTAAATTTTTAATTTTATTCTAAGCGGTAATTTTGCAGTTAAGACCGGACGGAGCGCCGCCCGCGCCCATCTGGCGTTATGGACGGCGACATCGACGTGCGCGGTCATGCGCAGCATCCGATTGATCCGGCATCCCAGGTACGTCACTGTCTTCTGGTACATGATCTCCTGGCCCCTGAGCGTCAGTGGTAGTGGAAAGTTCCTATAGTGGCGAGTGAGCAGAGCGGTCGTCTTGCCAACGTTGACGGCCATCCTCCACTCATCTAGCCATGGTGGCAGCAGGTCCAGCAGGCGCTGCATCCTGGCAGTGGCTATGTGGGCTCTTCTAGACGAATTGAAGTAGGCACTATCGTCCGCGTATAGTGCTAATTCAACATCGTCTTCCCATTCGCGCAGGTGGTCTGCCAGGGTGGGAATGTCATTGGTGTAAACCGCGTACAGGATCGGCGACAGACAGCTGCCCTGTGGTACGCCGGCTCTAATTGGTCTCGCTGCGGACTCGGCGTCCTCTACACAGACGTAGAACTTCCTATCTCTGAGGAATGACGCCACTAGCCGCAACATAGCAGGAGGGGTACTTGTTTGTGTTTCTAGTTTGTATAGTAATCCAGAGTGTCACACTCTGTCGAACGCCTTCTCTATGTCGAGAAAGACGCCCAACGATGTGCGGCCGCGGTTGTACTCGGCTGCCAGATAGTGCAGCACCCTGATCAGCTGTGTTGCTGTTGAGTGGCCCCTCCTGAATCCGTGCTGTTCCGCCCGAAGATGTACGCACGGGCGAAAGCTTCTTAGCAGCAGTCCTTCACACAGTTTAGCTAAGTGCGGTAGCAGCGTGCTGGACCTATAATTGGCTGCTCTACGCCTGTCCTTCCCGGGTTTCGGCAGAACGATCACTTTGCCGATTTTCCAGTCCTCCGGGAAGTGGGATGTCCGCAGTATACCGTTGTAGAGTCGACCTAGCTCTACAAGTGTTCTATGGGGCAGCTGTCGAAGTTTTGCGTTGGTTATCCCGTCGTGCCCCGGCGCCTTCCTGGGTTGCAGGCGGGCTACTGTCCTCCGCAATAGAGCGGGGGATATATACCACTCTCCTGCAAGCGGTGGCGCGGGCTTCGACAGGAATTCCTGTACGCGGCTCTCCTTCCGGGTATATAGTTCCATGAACTCCGCACTTGCTGGGTTCGGCATAAATTGCTCCTCGAAGTGCTCTGCTACGATATCCGCTCTACCTTTGGCCTCGTAACAACGTTCGCCCGCGTTGTTGGTCAGCGGGCAAACGGGGGATCTGGTTTTTGTTAACTGCCGGTTCAGTTTGTAGAGCGACGCATCTTCCTCCTCTGCTTCCGATATGCGCCACTGCCAGGTCTCTCCTCGGTGGGCCCGGACTGCAACCGACAGTTCATCTGACAAGTTGTTTAACTGTGTTTTTAATCTGGGGCAGCGAGTACGCGCCCAGAGCTTCCTTAGCGCTCTTTTGCGTTTGAGCTGCACGCATATCTCTCGCGGCAGCTCTTCCCGTCTTCCTGTAGTCGGGACGATCGTAGAGGCCGCGTGTAGAGCTTCTTTAATCGTCTTTGTAATTCTTGTTGCAGCGGCCTCTACGTCGTCCGCTGTGTTAATGGGGGTGTAGGTTGGAGGTCTCTCCGTTAGATATTTTTGGTAGAGCCTCCAATTAATCTTCCTTTTAATAGCTCCGGGCAGCGTAGTCACTGCCTTGAGGCCAATGGTAATGAGAATCGGGAGGTGCTGAGACATCAGGTCGTACAGCACCTCTACCACTACCGGGTAGTTGACGTTCCTAGAGAGCACGATATCCAATACATCCGGACATTTTCGGTGATCCGTAGGTACGTGAGTTGGTTCCTCGGGATCTAAAATGTCATAGCCGTGTCTCTCGGCGTCATCATAAAGTTCACGACCCGACGGGGTGATCACTCTGGAGCCCCACGCCGGGTGTTTCGCGTTTAGGTCCCCCGCGACGATGGTTGGTGTATCGCCTTCCATTACCGTCCGGATATCTGAGGAGCAGAATGGAGTCCCTGGCGGGCGGTATGCTGCGTAGATCCTTAGTTCGTCGCCCGCCGCCTCCATTTTTATGCCGATAGAGCGCATCGTTACATATGTTGGTAGATCCAGTTCTTGATGGACGATGTCTTTCCTCACCAGAACCGCCGTGTCTCTGTAGGCGGTCCCTAGAGGATTGACCTCGTCCCTTCTATATATATGGTAGTTTGGCAGCTTAAGATGCGTAGTTGGATTCAGTTTTGTCTCTCCTAGCAATATCACCCCAGATTCGATAGCCCTCCCTGTGCAGATATGGTAGTGATGGCTTGTAGAAATTCCCTTGGACAGCCTTGGCGAGAGACCAGAATGCACGTGTTCCCGAAGGAAAGCGAACTAGTTTCTCACCAATTCTGCCTATGTGCTCTGACTTTGCCTTGGCAATAACTCTTTTGAAGAACCTGGAGGCGAAGTTATACTTCTTTTTAAGCATGCTGGTGTTTCCCGAGCCGCCAAAGCCTCAGCCCAGGCCCGATAGCACTCCTGCTTATTGCGTGAAACTTCAAATGCCATCAAAAACATAACATGTAAAAAAACCAAGTCTCACAACTCAGTTCTTCTACCGTAAAAAGTTGTGAGATCCATGTAATACCAAGTCGGTTAATTTATTCAGTTCCTACTTAAGGATCCTTCCGTCTCAAGTTATTACGTAATTAACTAACCTATAAACATCTTATAGTGACCATTTCAATATTAAAAATCTTTTATGTTTTAAATAAATAGATTGACTTGACCATCGCATGAAAACACAATGTATCTCACAAGTAATACATATTATATTAAGGTAAACTCACGCAAATAAGTGATAGTCTAATTTCGTGATAGTCTTTTTCGAAGCTTGCACTTAGTTAAGTGAGACAAATACACATATTTAATGTGAACCTTAGGTTAAAGTAATAAGTCTTATTTTTCTCTGAAAAGTTTGGCTCGTATCGTGCGAGAGAGATAGTAACAAATGACAGATTTGTCCGACCGCGCTTAGTTTTGTGCGCTGCGGGGCCATAGAACATTTGTGTTCAGGTAATTAATTAATAATAAATACTAAATGTGCATAGATTGCAACAAAACTTACATAGTTTAGAGTTAGACCATTGAAGATTGTGATTTGCGGCTTGGTGGTAGTAAAAGGTGAGTGGTTTTGATATAATTTCTTATTTTGTGAACCCATAAAATTAAGGAATTTTCAAGTTTTGAAATGGAGTTGTGTCACGGATTTAAGAGGCGTATTACAAAAAAACACGAAATTACAAGGTTTCCTATGTTTAAAGTTCGTTGCTTGAAATAACAATTACTTGGTAAAAATAGTTCGTCTTCTCTCCTCAATCCGCTCAGAGCGGATTTTAGATA